CTCTTATCGATAAAAATTTATTCTTGAATCTCCTTTGATTTTTTATCAATATCTATAGTTTATCAATATCTAATAATCATTTTATTTCTCTAAACAGTAACAACATGGGCTCGAAGATAGAGTACGTGGAATCCTCCCATATGTACGCGACGAATTACATTCGTAATTCGAAGGCGATCGGCGTCCTCTGGGGTATTTTCACCATATGCTATGCTATAATCGGTGTCGTGGCCTTTATCACGCCAGAATGGTTAGGCGACTTGGAACATGAGAATCCAGGAAGATTTGGTCTCTGGACTAGATGTAGCTACGGTGGAAATGGTATTATTTTCTTCCGTATCAAATATCATTGAAATAATTGATCGGACCCGATTAATTAATATAACTTTTATTTTTGACTCTTCAGGTGAATTGGGCGAAGAATGTATCGGTAGACTAGACGATCTATCAACAATCGCCAACATTCCCTTCAGAGCGAGCACCATTCTAGTCGGCATCGCGGTTATAATCGCTCTGTTGACTATTTGCGCGATGCTTTTGTTCTTCTTCTGCCAGAGTACAACTGTCTTCTATTTGTGCGCCTGGATGCAAGTAGTCTCAGGTAATTACTGCTGCTATCACCTTATTATTGTGTTCATTTTTACCATTATGGAAGCTAGAATTGATGCTAAGATAAGGACACTTCTATTCTAAGTTTTTCTAAATTATTTACAGGATATACACCTCAGGACACATAATTCTATTCTCAGTAATTTCTCTAACTGAACATGTTCATTGTCTAAGAAGTATGAGTACAAAGTTAACTTAATTTAATTGTTTAAAAAAAAACGGCACATCTTGTCTGTTTTTCGGATAAATTATCTTTCATCTGAATAATACTATTGATTTAATTACTTTTATAATAATTCCAATATGGACGAGTTTAAACTACTCTGAGACATGTGTATGGTTCAGTGAACAGTGAACGCGTTAATTTTCCAATTTTACACCATTAATTCCTACAACACAATACTCTTTGCAGATCCTTTTAGAAAACCACCTCCACCACCGTGTAACTCATTCACTTGCCAGTGTGTCAATATTATACATCATATTATCGTTGAATAATACTTATATACCGATATAACGTATTAGGAAATGGGAATGCGTTGCTCTGAGCAATTGCGTAATATGATCTTCAAAAGCTACGATGACCATTTGAAAACTTAGAGTTACGCGTTGCTTAATCGACACGAAAATGAAAGAAGGAAGAAAAATGAAGGGAGAAGCGACGCTCAAACATCATTTTAGAAAGTATAACGCGATATGTTCTCGCGGGTTATTGCCGTAATCGTCCACGTAATACCTTATCATCGTGAAACAGCTGAAAATTACTACGATGCATCAGTGAGGCCATTGGGTCAGGAAATGATGCAATTATCCCTCCTCTCTTGCTTACAAACCTTGTTGTTAACTGGATTTCGTACGATATAAACATTGCAATTACTACCCCTAACAAGTTCACTGTTCAAAGAAGTAAGAGTACAAAGCTAACGTAACTTGGAAGCTATGTATCCATTTATGTATATTTTACAGATTTCATTTATAGTATATAGTTCAATAATTTCTTTATAATAATTATTAATTCTTGCTTCTCCTATGAAAATGAAAAATTTCAATGAACCGTAAACCTTTTTCTCACGAACGAAGAAAAATCAGGTTACAGAGGATTAACTTAATCGCCCATAAACATGACTCTTTTTTCACTTAAAAATTGATCGATCAAGTTCGAAACGACGATAAGGGCAATCAAACATTCGCCCTGACGGACTATTTAGAATAAGCACAGGATACGCAGAGTTTCTATGATCAATGAGTAAAAATAGCGTGACAATCGTTGTTATCCTATTCTACCGATCTAAAGTTAAAGCGGTTTTTATCGCAAATCGCGTTTTTCTACGAATAGAAAGCGTTTCCTGTCTACGGGAGCGTGGTTGCGAAATGCGTAATACAACAATACTATAATGAAACGAGTCTCAGTGATGTCTGAATCACGGTTTGCTTGATTATCGGTTGCTCACTGTCTATCATTTCGAAGCACGAGTTTAAGGAGAAAACCTGCTGTTTTGCGAATCTCATTCTCGTACAGAGAGAGCAAGGAATCGTTTAAAATGGAGAATAGTAGACCGTTATAAGATGGTTAAACTGCCAATTTACCGCTTTTCCAACGCCTCTACGTTTAACATATTAAAACTTACGATGTATAGAATATACTTTTCTGTAATTTCTCTTCTCGAAAATATTCGAGATTGACGATACAGTTGTACGTTGTGGAGAAAATCGTAATATCAATTGAGATGACCAAACGCGGCTACGCTTCTGAAATGCTTCTTAGTATGTACGTACATGATGTTGACCCACTTGAAGAACATTGACATGCTTGATTTATTCTGCAATAAGTTACGCGACATGTATAATGTTCACGCTTGGCTATTCGTTGTCCAACCACTTCGACTTTTTCCTTTATTTCCTTGTTCAATAAAACGGGGCAATGACTTGTACACGTGAAACGAAAGTTTCATCTGGAAATTGTTTACTAGGAAATTTGAAAATTAAAAAATTTTTCTTAAATTGTTACCACCTTCGTTAAACGATACTTCTTAAAAGTCTAATTTCATTAACGTTTCGATACGGATGACTGTATCAGCGGAAGCAGATTGTAAGAAAAAGATAAATAGGCGATTGGTTTTACGTAAGAATCGGGATGGCTGGTGAGAGATGGAAAGTTTCAAATACCATCGTCGTTGATGGAAGGCATTACCGGTGATCGTGGCTGGTTTTGTACGCCGACAGTGAAAGTCGGTGGTTGAAATGTGAATCAGCTACGCGTGGAGGGAAACATTTCACCTAGAAACAAACTGCACGGCTATAATACCGCACGGCGAATCGGAAATGAAAACTTTCCGTATCTGTGTACATATGTAATACGATCGTAGCAATTTCCGCGATTGTGTTTTTGATCCTGTGCAATTTTAATCAGCTTTCTTTCTTCATATTTTTTCATATCATTTTCTATTTTTTATTATGTCAATTACAATCTATCTTGCCTTTTATCTCTCCAGTGATGTATTCACTGCAATTTAATTTGAATTAATAGATTTTTTATGTGAATAAATTTATGTGAATAAAAAGTTGCTTCTTCTAAGCGTAAGAGGTTATGTAAGCTTGACAAAAAGCTAATCAACATTAGAAAAGCAAGATCGGTACCTTTCACTGTTGACCTCTCGTACAACATCCGTGAAGAGAGATAGTTCATTGAAATGCCAGCAACTTCATGCACATATTCCCGTTCGACGAACTGTAGCCTTGAGAAGAAAACGATCTTAGCTCGAATATAATGTCATGAATAACTCCAATATGATTTAGACATGCGTTATTAAATGGATTTAATTCATAATTTAATAGCTGTCTGAGAAATAATGTACTTTTCTATGTTTCAGCGATATCCATGGCTATCGGAGTTTGCATTTATCCTCTGGGCTGGGATTCACCGTTAATTCGAGCTGTCTGCGGCGCAGCCGCATCTAGGTATTAATTCAAATTTTCCGCCATAACCATTTAATTTTCAATCTGAAGGCTACCTGACACGCAGTAATTGTATCTTACGATTTTAACTGGTAGAAAGTCACAAGAGATAGTTCAAGTATAGCTGTATCCTCGATTATTTCAAAAGAATCTGTTTCCTCATACTTTTGTCATTCACGTTAAAGTGTGTCATTCTATCGAGCCTAACGAAAAAATGCATATCTATCGTTTCATTCGGTAGATACAATCCAGGCGCATGCGCCGTTAGATGGGCGATACCGTTAGCAGCGATCGCCGCTTTGGACGCCGCTACACTGGCTGCACTCGCTTTTATTTTGGCGTCCAGGCACGTCAGACTTCAACCAGAGCCATTCAACAATGGTTCTCTATACAAAGGTATAATCATCCCCTTTTAACATGAATGAAACTAAAATCTGTAAGAAGAATATGAAGTAAGAAACAGATTTCTAGAAAGCAGAAGCCTTCGCTATCGTCAAAATTCAAATCTTTTAACACGTTCGTGCCACGGGGAATTACAAGTTTTATGAAATATTGAATTATAGGAAATATGGATTAAATTGATACTCTAATCTTCCTTTGCACGTATTTCACACGAGCATCGCGTTGAAGAACTTTCTTTATTTAATGAACGTTCCATTTCCGAAAACTGTCGTGTATCACCGGTAGTATAGTTAGTGGAAACTATAGTAGTAAGTAATTGACGTTACCGCACGATAAATTTTTTAACTATACTGCAATGAAAGAATCAATCCCGAGTTTCCATCGCATGATTTTGTGCGAGGCTCAAACTCCTTATCTACCTCGAATTGCTGTTTTGACGCTCGTATTACGTGTACTTTAACGCTTGACCGATTTTACGACCTCGCTACATATATCGCTTTTTTACCAACTGTACACGTGCCACGGAATGTGTTAGCAGTAATTTTAAATATTGAAAATAACATCTATCTTCACTTCCTTTTAGGCGAAGTAAATCCAGGATACGTGAACGAAGCGCAGAGCGTTGCTGGTTCGCGAAAATCGTTGTCCTTGCGACCGGTTCTCTTGGTGGCTCCTCCGGAACAAGATCGCTACAGTGAGCTCTCCAGAGCGAAATCCCATTCACATCACAGCCTCTACACACCAGCTCCTTCACATCCAGCCCATACGATATCGACAAACACGTTGAATCATTCTCAGCACAATTTCCAATTGTAGAGACTTGATATGCCGTCTACTGTGGCGAACACACCGTTGTATATAGGCTATCGTACTGCTACGAATACTTTTTTCAAATTTACTATCGACGTTATTACAATTATAGATAGACGAGGAGAAAAGCATTGTAAATATCTCTAAAGTTTCTTTCTTTATACACATATTGACTTGTTCTATTGTTTTTTGTACTCGATTTTTCTATACAGACCAATAATTGTTGTATCAAAACGATGAAGTATTGGAAACAGCCTGTAGAGTTAGATCCGTAACATTTTTATATTTTGTATATATGTTGACATAACTTGTAAACTTTTTGTTCTCTTCTTTTTCAATGTATATTCTATGTATATGTAACTAAAGTTAGTTTTATACAAATTCATTCCTAACAGAATAAATTATATGATATGTAATAATTCCTGACACCAGTTCAGAGTGTGTCGATATCTTATCTTAGGAACTTACAAAAACTAATTACACTCTCTCTTTCCTTTTTTTATTATTATATAAACAGGTAACATAAAGTGTTGTGTTTACAGAACGGAGAGAATCTTACATTAGCGAGCAAGTTATATGTGCGCGCGCGCGTGTGTGTATGTGTGTGTGTGTGTCACTGAATAAAGACACCAGAAAGAATCAGGGACGTTTATAATTTTTACAGTGTGTACTATACACCTGTTTCACGACATACTTTTCCTTCTTTCTTTTTTTTTGTCTTCTTTTTCCTTATCTTTGAAATAAAAAGGGAGACAAAATATTGAAATGAAAAAGCTTGTTTGATTGCTTCCGTTCGTTCGCGCAAGTCTAAAGCAAAGTGTTTTGCCGTACGGTAACTATGACTACACTTAAAAAGAGACACCGAGTATACGCGCGTGTGTATGTATGTATGTATGTATGCATTTATGTGTGTATGTTGGTCGAGAAACTTTCTGTACCACAACAAAATTCGAAAAGAATCGATCAGTCGCACTAAGGAATCACCGTATTAATCGCGTCAGAATGAACGACAAAGACGACAGCGCTTGGGTATTTGATTCCCTGATCGGTTTTCTTCAGGGTCCTATTTGGTCCGCGCCTCTGATCACCTTTATCGAAGAGAAGTCGCTCAGTGAGTTGAAATATTTACGCAATAAATGTTCCTTTTCTTTTTTATTTCGTATCTTTGATAATCTTCTTCAAGATCAAGTTTCATAAAAGATATCTTTTTTTTTCTTTTTTGTTATATATATTTTTCTTCCATTAACACTAAGTATTCGTTCAAAGATTATAGAGAAAGGAAGATTATCATACTTTATTCGAGCTTCGTGTACCAAAATGAATCCTCTGGTTTTTTGTTACCGATTTTGATACGGATCACGCTTACATTGAATTTTTCTTCTTCCTCGCAGTATTCGAAGCGGACGTTGAGGACAACGACGAGTATCAAAAGATATATCAAGAGTACAAAAATCTGGTGGACTTATTGCTTGGCTGTTTCATGGAAGACATGGGAATCACTCCGGAGCAGTTCGAGCACGCTTGTACCGTGAACAAGTATACAAAAATGCCTATACAATTTCAACAGGCGAGTACGGAATGTATTGTTGAACAACAGAGAGGATAGTTACGTGGCTTTCGTGAACTGGATTGTTCGAATTACCAATCCAAGTTTTCAGGTTTAAGCTATGTACAATTGAAGTAGAGTTTATGCAAAAAAGTGTTCATGTATAGTTTAACCCTTTCGCAATTAACAGGTTTGAACAGACGAACAAAAATTGATCGCAATTTAGTATCTATTACAGACGCGATGATCAATAGATAAATAGGAAATTGGTAAAAAAGTAATAATTCGATCACGAAAGGGTTGAAGAAGTATCACCTGAACTCTTTCTGTACATGCTCTTTCAATTGACACTGGTTCAAATTCGAAAGCTTCGATTAATAATTCAAACAAAATAGACAGATGAATGAACAGCGTGTGTCAATTTTGTTACCCATTCCAGAACTTGTTCGAGCAGATATGGGCGGCGAATGAGTATGAGATATTCAAGAGGATGATGATACAAAAGAACCTGGAGCTTCAGTTGCAAGCATTGAATATGATAGAGCAGAAGTATGGTCTTACACCTGCTTCATTAATGTACGAAGCAGACGTATTGACGAATGATCCTTTGGTCATGGAAGAGATCATTCAGTGAGTCTGTGAATTATCTCATCGCATGATTTTCATAGAGAAATTTATTAAATTCAGATATTGAAAAACTTGCAGGAAGCATGTACTGGAAAATGAAGAACAGGATGTATCGGCGGAAACTTCATTAATCAAGGAACATGAACGCCTGGCGGCTAAATACAATAACGAGAGAGCATTGTTAGAAGAAGCTCTAAAAGCTTCACGAGATGAAAAAACACCTGAAACAGAAACACCATCTTCTTCACAAGACGAAGAAAAAGAAGAAGTAAAAGCAGGAATAGGAATCATTGAAGAAGAAAAGGAGGAGAAAGAAAAGGAAGAAGAGATTAAAGATGTTCCCAAGTGTTCTAAAGTGGTTTCTTTTGATCCTCTACCCACAGATGAATCAGATGAAAAATCAGAGGAACCAAACGTATTAATCAAACCAATTATATTCTGACGAGAAACACATGTGAAGTATTACCTGTCTTTTTATTAATATTTTAGGTATCAGAGGAGGATATGAAGAAGAGGCAGGCTTATTTAAAAGCTAGACGCGATAAATTGGTCGCCCTTAAGAAGGAGGCGAGAAGCCAACGATTAGAAATGAATTCAACACGGCCAAGTTCCGCGAGGACAGTGGCAGAAGCGACTATCAAAGGGGAGCAAGAACTAAAATTACCAGAACCTCTAGAGCCATCCATAGTGCAAGTACGCAAAGCACTTGCGGCCCGCCTTCAAGCGGAGGTGGTGCGTAAGCAAACGTACTAATAATAACGATTCTCTAAGAGATATTGGAACAACTCTGTGTTTCACTGGGATAAAACAGTGAATCGGATATTTTACGAAGAATTTCGTACAGGGTGACAGCATTAGCATCTTTTCGTAGACGTTACGTTAGCATAAAGACAGCAAGAAGGATATTTATAAAGGGATTAAAAATCGTTACAAACATTAATATTAATCAGGATAGACCACCTGAACGGTAAAGCTGCGATTTCTTTGTGGAAGAAATGACTATGCGCGAAACAAAAGGAGTACAAGTTGTTTCTTTTCCGTTCTTTTCTTCTTTGTTTTTTTTTACACACAATTCCAAGCGTTCACTGTTTCGATTTTTTCTTTCTCTTTAAAGTAAGTCTGAACGATTTGGTATTGTTACAAGTTTGCATATAAGTGTGTTTCCGCTTCTGAATGCCGATGTGAAACAATAGAAGTAATCTTTTAAGGTCACTTGCATTATTTTCTCTCAGTCGTTCGATGCATTTTGCACGATTACGAGCTTACTTATGAAAGAAATTTCTTAAATAAAGAAAAAAAAAGTAGAATAAAAAACAGAATTTTTTTTATAACCGCGATTTGTATAGATTTTTGAGAGAGTGCGAGTGATATAAATAAAAGAAACGAGGAAGAAAACGATAGTTCCCATTTTTTAATTTTTTTTCAATTACGTCAGCTCATTCTTTACAGATGGAAATTGCCATCTGTGATTCTGCTTTTGCTCGTTCATAATTTATTTGACTCGTTTTGAATTGACATAAAGAGAAGAGAATGCGAAGTCAACGTAAAAATAGATAAAAATCGATCGTGTGATAATAAGTAGAATGTCAATGATATTTAAAAAAAAAGAAAAAAAAAACAAGATGAGTGTAAATACGCTGGAAAATCTGTTTTACATATTATTATCTAATAGCATAAATTGTATAAATCACAATTAGACAAGTAGAACTGAAATCAACGGCAAGTATACATTCATACAAAGAAATATCCGTTTTCTTTTCGTCTTGTTTCTTCATTTAGCGATTAAACACTGAGGTAAGTCATGACTCCGTTCATTAACCAATTCTTCTAATTTAAAGTTTTATTTAATTAAATATTCTCCGCACTTCTACAACACACTTCTATTTCGTGTAACACACATTTATCCATTCTCACTTTCTTTTCTGTTAGCTGTCCGATTATAAAGAACAAAATAAATTCACGATGGAACACGAGCGATATACGATCGACCACTATTTCTAAAGCAAATTTTACACTAGTAGAAAGTATGATAATTGAAATTTATAGTTCCCTCTATACGATCTAGTATTTTAGCAATATCGATGCTTTATACGTCACAATTAAGTCAACTTAATAAATTAATGGATCCATGAAACTTTTCGTTGTTTAAAAACGAAAGAGTTCTTCAGGACACGCTCGTCTTCCGCCGCAAATTCTGACATATTAATTCTCGGCTTTGTTGTTTGTTGGCTCATCCGATCGATCTTCGTTCATACCTCACTAGAATAAAATGCAAAATATTCGATTTCCACTTGCTCTCCATTCAACTATTACCATACTACACACAAAACAAAGTTCTTTGTTACTTCTTTTTTTCCTTCCTCCCCCCCTTTTTTGTTAATCCCTTATGCTTGCTCTTAATTCACATGGTTTTTTTTTAATTTTTTACGAATAGCTTCTCATATAAAAAGGTGTCTTTTTCTATGTGCGTATATATACATGTGCATATATATATATACACACACAAAGAACTTTAAATTGTGTAATATTCATACGATTATTACATCGACGTGTGACGGTTGTGAAATTTCTCTATACCTCCGGCGGCATTCTGATCTCGCACAAAAAATGTCTCACAGTTTTTTTTTCTCCTTAAATCGGAAAGGAAACATCGAAAAAGTATTAACTATTCTCAACAATTACATCGAAACGGGACTCGTCGGATACATATGTATATATATATTTACATATACAATTGTCACAACTAACAAAAATCGTTCCGGAATACTCGTATTTTCCAATAGATATATATATCGATAAAAATCGATATCGTTCCTCGTGATCGGCTGAATAATCGAGAGAGAACCGGCTTCGTAAGATTCTGAATCGATTCGAAAAGCGAAATACGGACAAAAGGCGATTGATTCGTGCATCCTAACGAAGAGAAAGCTTGAATACACAAAAGAAAAAAAAAAGAAAAAAATAAGTTGGATTTCTCCCCTGCTGATATTATGAATTCTCGAGTAATGCGTTCCTTTGAGAAACATAATGTAAGCTAAAAGCTTGTACGACGATTTCTTCTTTTTTCATACTTTTTTAATTGCAGAAAAAAAAACGATTAAAGAAATCATTGTTACGATAAATATATATATGTATATATATGCGGTTCGAAGCACCAACGATGGGGTACAATGAACATTAAATAAGAAATAGCAATAATGAAAGTGACGCGCGACAACGACAAGCCTGCAACACTCCATATAAGTGTGTATGCTGTATACACGTGTATGTGAATATGTATGCGTGTGTGTCTGCTGTGGGTACGAAATTTAGCTTAAATAGCATTTATGACCGCGCTTTTTACTCTAGTATCACTTAGATATCGATTCCTTCTTTTCTTCTCCTTTCTCTTCTTTTTCTCATTGTTCTTCACGTTACTTACAGTCCTCTTTAAAATATGTCCAACGCAAGTCCTGTTTCTCTCAAACTTTTACCAGTTTTTTTTTCTGTTTTTTCGTCTTTCATTATCATCGAATAAATCGTGAATATTATGTAAAACACATAAAGAATAACATTACTCGATATCCTCTTAATTAATTAATAATTAGCCTTTGTTACATTCCATTCTCTCTTTCTCTCTCTCTCTCTGACGTTCACACAATCACTCTCACTGTCTTTCTCTCCGTGGTTAGTCCAAGTTGCACTCTTTTTCTTCTTTTTTTCCATTTTTCTTTCTTCTTATGTACATATATACCGCTCAGCTCCAGCGAATTTGCCTACTTTGATATTCACAGGTTTTTTTTTCGCTTATTCTCGTGACTGAATTAACTTCTAAAACTCTCCACTTTCCTCCCTCTTAGTATCATAAGTTAATATATATGCATATGTGTACATAGACGGTACGTGTGTGTTGCTATTTACGAAAAAATGTCCAATATACATATACAGGTCTAAAGCAGTCTTAGAAACTCTGTTCAGGGTGTGGGGACATTGTGAAAACTTTATACATTAGCTTATAATACTTTTCTCTGCTCCTCTCCTGTTCCTCAAGTTAACTCAATCAATTTAAAACGCAGGGAGCACACACGCTTCTGAAATAATATTACACATAGAAGAAAGAAAGAAAAAAAACTTTCCCAAGGAAACACGATAATCGACGTAAATTGAAAACAACAGAAAGTAAATCAGTTTAGACTCTTATAATACCAGCTTTCTCGGTTGTGTGTATCAGTAGTTATAAAAATTAAGTAGACACTCTTATCTGGAGCTGATATAGATCAATGAACTTCCATTTTGATCTTGATATGACATTATAACGTGATTAAAAATAAACTGTTTTACCAAGCATCGTTCGTATGATATTCATCGGCGTTTTATGATGCCAATTTCTTTGAAATCTGAGTATTTCATTTTATTACGTTCTTTCTTTAGTTTCATCTATGTTCATGTAATAAAAGAAAAACTTTTTTACTTTACGTTGGAAATAATTTAAATGAAATTACATAACTTTAATGAAATGTATATATAATGGAATTTCGTAAGGATGAATTTGCACAGATATACTCAATATTTCACTCTTTTTTTAATCTTTTCTTTACAAAGTACAACGATACCAGGCTCTATTCTTGCCTATATTGATTATGAATAATTTATACGAATAAGATTAGTTTATACTTAATGCTCAAGATTGCAAGACACTTTTACATATACTTATTTTTTTTCTTTTTTTTTTACATCGAGGAGTAAATTGCGGACATGAAGTGCAAACTGGTAAATATACACAAATCAAATATGTTTATTGTACAATTTCTACTACTTACATTGACAACCGAAAAGCTCGTTCAAAGAACCTTAAATGGGAACTGAATTTTTTTTTAAAGGAATCGCATTTTCTCTGCTTCACCCACGAATGGTTGTTTTACAATCGTTACAAATATACATATATATACAAACTAAATACTATGTCCGTTAAATTGGATAAAGTTTCATGATGTCTGACCCCCTTCAGGGACAGGTCTTAATTGCCCATCGCACGAATAAGATAATTTATGGATGGCAAAACAAAACACTCAGTTGTTTTTGTGCGGTACATCATGTACTTTTACATGTGATTTTTTTTTCTTTACATAATAAGTTTCTTCTTAATAGATGTAAATATGACGTACTGTCACAATTTTAATTATTACATGAATCTAAGCACACGCTTAGAAACTCTGTACTTGTAAGAACCACTAGGCCTGGCTAGAGTTTCTTAGCCTATTCGTGAAATAAATTTCTCCTAGTACAATGGGGTGTTTCCAGACAATGTGGAATGGACTATTTCTTGTTAAAATCTTGTTATTTTTAACACTTATGTGGTCATATAATATTATGCCACAACTTTATCATCATATATCTCGTTTAAAGAAAGTTCTGTCTTTCTTTTTGTATCGCATTGATTCATCGTTTGTTTGTTTGTTTTATCTTAATTACATATATTCCATTTCTTACACCCTTTCACCCACCTGCGTTCAGTATCGATGCTTTCGTATATTATACACAACCCAGCACAAAGAGGTATGTCAATTTTCCACCACATTGTAAACACGTATCCTCATATGTCCACTCACTTAAAGGAGAATGGTCCTTGTTCTGCTACAAAAGGGTTGACAGTACGATCTTCTGATCGAGTCCTTTGTGCACGTAGGAGGGTCAGAAATGGTAGTAGCAATTAAAAATCACAAATTCCTTGTTCTCTTCCAGTTTGCCTACTATGACAATCTTTGTCGTTTTGG